GGGAGGGAGTAGGGGGCACATTGAGGATACGGGAAACTGAGGCCCTCTAGCCCAGTCTGCTCCAGTCCTGCTGCTGGTGGAGAGGGTTGGGGGTGGAGAACAACTCTCCCCAACAATTCCACACCCCATCTATGACTGCCCATCACCTGCCCTCACCATGGAAACCCCTGCAAGCCTTGGAGTGGTAATACCTGTAACGCAGGGCTGCGGAGGATGAATTTTCTCACTTTTAATGACCGAGAAGTTCCTTGTTTCACCTTTGGTTTTGAAAGCAATCTTCACTGAGTATGGAATTCCAGGTTAACAGTTTTCCGTGAAGTGTCTTAAAGATGCTAAGTCTAGCTTGAGCTGATTGATACTGAGAAGTCTGCTTATCTTTGTTCTCAATGCGTGATATTCTCTTTCTCTCTCTCCCTCTGACTGCTTTTAAGATTTTCTCCACTTTTAAGGGACGTAATTACAATGTTCCTTGGCATCATTTTGTTCATGCCTCTTCTGCTTAGAACTCATTGAACTTCCTGGATGTATGGTGAAAATGTTATGGACATTGTTTTGTCAAGTGTTTTTCTGTCTTTCCCCAACCTCCTCTGCCTGTTCAATTTATGAAGCTACAGTTACGTATATTAGACCTTTGAAGTTGACCCACAGTTCACTGACACCCTATGCTGTTTTTTCAGTCCCTTTTTCTGTTTGAACTATTTCTAGTGCCTCATCATCAAGTTCACTAATCTTTTCTCCTGTAGTATCTTTTCATCTTGAGTGAAAAGATAGTGTTTTTCAGTTTTTCATCTTGGATGCTGAGTTACTTTATCTCTTATGGTTCAATTTGATGTTTTTTCTTGAAAAAAATATATATATTTACCATGTTTCTAACTTTTGAACATACAGAATATACTGTTATAGCTGCTTTCATGTCTTTACTTACAGTTCTAATATCTGCATCAGTTCTGGGGCAGTATTGATTTTTTTCTTTTGTCTCATGTATTTTCCCTTTTCCTTGTGTTCTGGTCACTTTTTACTGGATGCAAGCTATGGTGAATTTCATGTTTTGGTTTAAGTGTTTTGTCCTGGGATTCAGTGAAGTTGCTGGTAAATAACTGAACACTCTTGAAGTTTGGTGTAGTTTCATTAGATGGAATTCGTCTCGAGTAGAGGTTGACAAACTATGGACCAAATCTTGCCAACCACCTGCTTTTGTAAATAATGAAATAGAGACATACACATTTGTTTATGTGCTGTCTATGGATGGCTTTGTGCCATAACAAAGTTGAGTGCTCTCGGGAACTCCATCAGACCTCTCTCCGTATGCTGCAGCCTGGAGGAGACCAGGCAAGCCTAGGCTGATTCTTTTCTCCTCCCGGCCCTCAGGTCTCACCATGCTTGCTATGCTGCCTCTTGGTCATGGTTTCATAGATTTTGCTTGCTTTTTAATTGCTAAAACAGTACAGGTTCTCTTACCCCATTGTGACTGGAATTGGAAGTTGAATCCAAGGTCATGGTGGCCATTGTCCCAACTTGTAGGACAGTCTGCAACATTCCCTGTATCATTCCCATGAAAAACTATCCTCCTCCAGCCTCCAGCTGCCACAAAGGGAAGGAGAGCCAGGCAGGTGATGATTCTCAGCCTGTCCACCCCCAAGGGTGCTGTGAGGCTGGAAGATCAGGACTCCAGTGAGTGTTGCAAGGAGGAGGCTGGTAATCAACTGCTGGGTGCTGACTATGGACTCCTGGATCATGAGCTGACTCTATACCTGTGTTACTCACTTCACCCTCCAGGAGCCATGCTGTGGGCACTGTTAGCATCCTAAGAGGAAACCAAGGCTCTTGCCCCAGGTCACACAGCTTCATGGGAGCACAGTCTAGAGCCTGGCCTGTGCTGCCCCCTTCAGCACCATAGAGACAGACTTAGGAGTGCAAGACTCTCCCCACCTTCTACGCTTTCCAGGCAGTAAAATGGAGGAGCTTGCTTGCACACGGTATATGTAGTCACTTTTGACCTCCCAGCTCCAGGGCAGATGGGGTGAATCTGTCTCCCAGTCCACACTGGAGCACTTTGAGGGTAGAGGACCATGACTGGCTCTCCCTGAGAACCAAAGAGAGTGAGGTAGACAGGTCATTTGAGGGAGCTCCGGATGAAAAACTACCCCCACCCATCAGAGTCCAGGGCTTGGGGAGACAGCGTGCCACCCAGCTGGGGCTGACACTTTCCAAATTCCAGCCTCCCCTCTAGCTTTTCCATGGCTCTGACTTGGCCTTGCCTGGGACCTCTGCAGAGTATGTGTGGGATGGGGCCAAGGAGATGACTGGTGTTTTCTCTAGGTTGGCCTAGAGCTAGGCCAAATGTACCCCCTCTTGGCAGGTAAGGAAACCTGTGTCCTGGAGGGGCTGTGGCTTGCTCTGGGCTGCCCTCTTTCCTGCACTCTCTCCTTGGCTGAGCCACTTGGTCACATTTTCACATTTGTGGTCGCAAAAGCTCCTTGAGACCCACCTTAGATTAGCCCTGCATTGGGCCTGGGCGGGGGCCCTTGAAGAACCCACAGATAATGAGGTGAGGTGGTGAACCTCTCGTACCTCAGTTCCCTCGTCTGTTAAATGGGAGCACTAACTACTGTCTTGGAGCATAATTTGTGAAGGCCCCAAGGGTAGCGGCTGTCAGGGCTCATTAGAAGCTTGTGTGCAGAGTGAAGCGCAGCGCTGACCTGCACCCTCGCGCAGAAGGCGCAGGTGGGTGAGCACAGCCCTGCGTTCTAGTCTGGAGTCCCTGGCTTTCCTGTGTACAAAACTGCAAGGGTGTGACAGGGCTCAAGGCTCAAGGTACAGCACCTCAGAGACTTCTGTGACTGGCTAAACTGCAAGCTGTGGGAGGCTCAGGTCCCCCTTTCTGCCCTCCACATCAGCTGGCACCTGTTAGAAGCCCTCCACTGAGCATCGGGGGCACCAAGCCCAACCCTAAGGCGAGCCTTGCTCAGCCGCGGAACCCCACGGGGGCTCCACCATGGAGGCAGGCCCCAACAGATCCATGCCAACTGCACACCATCCCTGGATCCGGCCCCCTGCCTGCCAGAGGGCGCGTGGGGAGCAGCACACATGGAGTGTCTTGCTGGGGCTGGCCACCTAGCCGGGGCCCCGGGCGAGTCCCTGGAGCCAGGCCTGATGGATCCTGCAGAGGGTGGGGGGCGGGAGGGGCGGAGGAGGGAGGGGGGCGCCTCTAGGGGAAGCGTGTCGCTGCGCCTTTCCAGGCTGGCACAGGAGGCTGTTTGGCTGCAGGAGCAGCTTATTCAAGAGGACACTGAGGCTGGAGCAACTTTAGAATGGTGGGAGGTCAGGGGAGGAAGTCTCTGCTGCCGCCCACCACCTCAGGACTTCATCACCCCCGTCTGGTGGTGAAACCCCAAACTTGTGAACCCACCCAGCTCTTGCACCTTTCATCCACCCCCTTGCCACACAGCCTCTGGCTTTTCCATGATCATCTCCTGAGATGAGGGGCTCACGCCTCTCAAAACCCCTGCATGACTCTGGGGTCAGAAAGCAGCCCACCTCCCCATGGCCGCCCCCTGCACAGATGTAGCTGCCCCTTCTGCACCTTCTGAAACAGCCCTTCAGGGACGCAAAAGGGCGAGTGATTGGCCCCCAGAGGACAGAGCAAACAACAAGCCTCGACTATCTAGGGGCTGTGGCTGGCCCCACAGCTTCAGCTGTTGAACCAATGAGTAAACTGGGCCCAGAACAACTAAATGTCTAACCCAGAGTCACCCTTGTGGTTGCAGGGCAGGGAGAGGCCCAGGGGCAGCTGGATAAGCCCACTGGAGTGTGCAGACACGTCCCCACAGGCCCCACCCAGTCCACCTCCCTGTCACACTGTGTCGACAATCCCAGAGAAGGGAGTGTGCAGGCCACCCTTGTGGCAGGCCTGCGTAGGTTCTAACCTGACTCCCCAGCTTGCCGTGTGGCACAGAGCAGGTCTCTGAGCTCTCTGTGGAAGGCTCCTCCAGAGGCTCCTCAGGCCAGGATGGGGCCGTGACACCAGCCTTGAAGAGTCAGCAGTGTCCAGCCCCGGCGGCCACACTCCCCTCTGCTGCCCGGTGGTCCAGGAGGGAATGGAGAGACTGGGCCCTACTGACCGCTCGGGGCAGGTGTGTTCTCCCTCCACCTGTCCTTCCTTCCCTGTGCCTCGTCCTTCCTCGTGGCTCAGCTCTGGCCAGCGCCGGCCGGCCCGAGACATATCTGCCCACACTGGCAGTGGCTGGGCTGGCGGTGGGGAAGGCGTGCTCTTGACTTCTGCGACCCCAGCCTGCACCGGCTCCAGGAAGCTGGAGGCCCACTGTTGTGCAGACAGATGTCAGGTGACAGGAAAAGCACACATGCTGGTGCCGGGGCAGAGCCCAACCCAGACAGGATAGGTGGCAGCAAAAGAACCTTCCAAAGTCCACACCAGCCTGGGACACTGGGTGTGGGAGAGGGACTTGGAGAGCGGCTGTACCAGCTGCTGCCTCCCGCTGGCTCAGCTGGGCCTCCCAGAGGGAGGCGGAATGGTGGTGTGGCTTGCCCCAAGGCCAGAAATGCAACCCAGGACCAGACTACAGCAGGGTCCCTGGGCTGAACCCTGAAACCGGCAAGGAAGGGGGCCTCCCTGGGGGCTGACCTCAGGATGCAGACCCTTCCTGACTCCCAAGACCTTTGAGAGCTAACCTTCAGGCTCCTCCTTGGCATTCTCTCTTCCCTTCTCACCTCGCACCTGCCGGAGTGCCGGGCTCGGTCTTGTTACGGAGTGCCGTAGTCTTGTTACGGAAGCAGACATGGGAAATGTGCTCCTCTCACGCTCTGCTGCACCAGAGCCCAGCTTGAGTCAACGGCTGAGAAGCTCAAATCTGAACTGTCAGCTCCTAACCCTAGAATTTCACTTCCTGGGCCTACTCCTGAGGCTGCAGAAGCCTCGGATACCCCAAGAGGGACCTGTCCCCACACTGAGTTGCCTGACAGCCTGTTTTCTCTTCTCCAAGGTGATAGCTGTGGTCATGGACATGTTCACTGATGTTGACATCTTCAAGGACCTGCTGGACGCTGGCTTCAAGAGGAAGGTGGCCGTGTACATCATCGTGGACGAGAGTAACATCAAGTACTTCCTGCACATGTGTGAGCGGGCCCGCATGCACACGGGGCACCTCAAGGTGAGCCCACTGCTCAGTCAGTCGGGCAGCAAATGCTGAGCGCCTGCCTTCTGGCGCCGGAGCCCTGTGCTCGGGAGAGTTCAGGAATTCTAGAGCCTCCTGCTCAGTGGTCACCTGCCCCGAGGGACAGAACGCTCACTGTCTCCAGTAGTCAGAGATAACACTGATGAAGGGCCTGCTGACCACGTGCCGAGTCCGCACCAGGGCTCTACAGCAGCCTGTGCCACGCTGGTTACCTACCCTCGTTTGCACGCCTGCAGTGCCAAGGTGCTCCCTACCCCAGCTCAGCAGCTCGCGCCCCATTTGGAGAGCTCCCACTTCAGGAAAGTCCTTTCCTGGGTTTAAGCCAAAATGTGTCTCTTATCAGTCCACCCACTGGTCTTAGTATCTGGTTCTGCCCAGAAGGACCTTTGGCTGCGGCCAGAGAGAAAGGCTGCTGTTGTATCTGCAGAGCTGAGCTGGAGCTGAGGAACAGCAGCAGAGCAGAGGAGCAGGGTGGTGGGTGGCGGGTGGTGGGGGCCGAGATCTCAAGGCTCCCTCACTGTGCATCCTTGGGCGTGTCCTCTCCCCTGTGGGTGCGGGGTCTCATTAGCCCAGCAGAGGGGCCAGGGGGCCAGCATGGCTGGGCTCTTCTGCTCAGACAACCTGACATTCGGTGACTTATTTGGGGACAGAGGAGCCCTCCTTCCACCTAGCCGTCACTTGGCACCTACGTGTGTACAGCACGTTCCCCAGAGAGTACAGGTCAGAATGCAGTCATGTCATATAATGCAGTAATTAATAACAGTAATGACAGCTAATGCTTCTACAGCATTTGTCGTGCACCAGGCCCGTCCCAGGCACTTAATCCGATTAAATTATTGACTCCTGATAACAACAGGGGCAGGGCCTGTTCCCATTTCACAGATGCGGCGATGGAGGCGATGCCAGAGGCACCCAC